AAAGAGCGCACTGCTTTCCTAAGAAATGCAAAATACAACATCAGTAGACCTTGAGACGTCAGGAGCTAGTTTGTACCAAAGGCAGAATGAAGAACATTCCTGACAAAATTCCTGTCTTCCTGCTATACTGAGGGAAAAGGAAAGGTTATGAAAGGAGGGTAATGAAGTCAGGCAAAACTCAATGCTATTCTGTGCTTGACTGAGGTGGTTAAAAGAAAGATTTACTTTTTTAAAAATTAAACTTTTATATTTTTAGTTAGTTTTTGGTTCAATGTCTTTTCATGCTCACTTTGCATGTGGGATAGGAGCTATGTTTTGAGGGATTCTTGGCTTATGTGAGGCTCACTTCTTGTAACATCAGTATATCGTGAAAAAGACGCAGTAAGAAGAGTCGTGAGAGGTTGAGGTATTTGACTTGGTCTTAAGAGACTGGATTGACTTCTTGGCTATACAACCGAATTTTTATATTATATCAGTGTGGGATTGTTGAATTACTTTATTCTGTAAAGGCGTTAAGAAGACGTAACTAATCTTGCTGCTCTTGTGCTAAGGTAGGAGCCATAAAAGTACTAATATCTACAATTTTATGGTCCAGAATGGTTTTTTGCCTTTTGCCACTCGGCACAGTGAGCCCAACTCCCTGACCTTAGGGAATGTTACCTTTTTTTAGATGATCTGTAATGCTTAATGAGGATGCTGTTTCTCTTCCCCCCTCCCCTACAACCTTATATTGAATAAAAGTCCATTCTGGTATCATCTGTCTTACACAAATTTCTATGATGTTTTGATCTATTTGAAAAATGTTGGCGATGAGAGGACTTCTCTGAGGAAACACAGGAACTGTATTTCTGATTTTTAGAAAACTCAGTTAGTGCCTCAAATCTGGTATCACCCTTACAACTGGAGAATTTTGAGAGTGCTTTGCCTAGCTGTATTTCCTCCTCCCAGTTTGAAGTTTATGGGAGCACAGGAAAATTTCTGATCCAGTAAAATCACTATCCAAGGAAAACAGTTATTTCAAATCTACTTCTTCCTAGTACTTCACATTAAAGATTTTAGCACATCAGCTTACATGCCATCATTCTTTTTAAATGAGATTTTTAGTCTGTAGTTCTTTCTTTGGTAGAGAAGTAGAGAAGATAGCCTAAAAATAACAGAAATGTATTTAGGAGTCTCTTAATGAGAAAAAAAAAATAACCCAAATTTTTGTGCAATTAAAACTTAAGGCTTATACTTTTATAATACTGTAGTGTCTTGTTTAGTCCACTGGCTTATATGAATTTTTACCAAGAAAATAATTTTGCTTAATCAGCAGTCAGCAGTATTGACCTAAAAGCTATACATAAATTACAGAAATACTTAATGAAAATGTGTATAATAAATAAGCTCTTATGTAATTCTTGAGCACTTTACAAGATAGTTCAAGTTGTCCTAACTGAATTCAACTTGAGAAATAATATTGGGTTGACAAAAAAAATTAATTCTGCCTTCATTCTTACATTTTAATTTTTATTATAGCGTATGGAGTCAAGAATTGTAATTGTTCCATTAAATGTGATTGACCAGGATATTGTCAGTATGTTTAAGGAAAGATTTCTGTGTAAATCTATCAAACAGATGACACATTTTAGAATGGATTGTTGCTGAACAAGTAAATGGGATAGAGTGTTTACTAGTATTTGTTGAATCATGGTTTTGGCAAAAACCACGTAAAAACATGCTAGAAAAGTTATGTTCTACAGCAGATTTAAAAAAACCCCACAAACACCCAAAAACAACAAAAGCCAAAAACAAACAGAAGAGAATAGAATCGATAGGAAAGAAGACTGTCATTTCAGAGGCTGTTTCAATTAGAGGTTTGTAGAAAAATTGGACACAATGTAATAGAAAGAGGTGAAGTCATATGCCTCTTGAAGATACTGTCTGTGACTTAAATGTTGATTCTTAGTGAAGAAATAGTATGAAGAATGTATACCCGACTGTCTAACTTGGAAAAAAAAGTCTTACCTGAGTCAGATTGGGCTTTGAAAGGTTGGGTTCTTAATTAGCTTTTTTTCTTTAACTGTTCTGATGGATTATATGTTAATTTAAATGCTAATTTACTCTGGTATCTCAAATATTTTCCCCATCTTTCTGTTTACTAGGCTCACTATTTACAGCCTCTAGTGGCTGTTCAACTAGCAATTAACTCCAACAGTACCAAAGAAGAAATAGCAATTGAGTGTAAGATCCTGGGCTCACCTAATTTAAAAAATGAAGATGATCGTGACAAGTTTCTGGGACGAATTGCCTTCAAAGTTCAGATGACTGAATAGCAGGAGTAAAAAATTCTCCACAAAGTAAACATTGTGTTGTCTGTTTTGTATCAGCTGGACATGCCATTCTAGGATGTGAGACCACCTTGGAGAATGTTAAGGTGGTTTATGGCGTTCAGGGTAGCATAATAATATGCTTTCAAATCCTATGTTTAAAATCCCTTAAAATAAATGCCTATCCTGCTTCTGCCTGCCCCATTGGAACAGTGTACAGACTATAGTCATGTCATAGGGATCTGTAAATAGCTGTTTTCAAACACATAATAATGGTGACCTTTGTCCTGTTCTAAAATGTGGTTTCATCCCCCAAGTGAGTGTCTCAAGCTTAATGTGCTGTGCTATGTAAATATTGCATTGATTTAACACTGGTTTAACTGTCATATCTCAATGCTGACACAGTTATAGGGATAAACAATAAATGGTACCTGGTTGACATAGTGATTTTTTGGTAAGAGTAAACACCTCCAACGTAAACTGTGTGTATGGGAGTGGGTGGGTGGATGGCTGGCTGTGTGGAGAGGCCTTAAATTGTAGACTGGGTGGCGTGGGAGAATTTAAATGGCGTTTAAGAGTTGGTATGGATTTCTGAAAGTAAGTGCTCAACTAGTACTTCCTTGTGCTTGTCACCGTGCAAGTATTGTGTATATGTAATACTTGGTATAGAGTTTGGTATTCTAGCTGAGGAATTGAATCTTTCTTCGTGTTGTTAATTGCTTGCAATATGTGGAGCACAAATAAAATCTATACAATATTTTAAAACTTTTTAGTTCAGAAATATCAATATACAATGATTTAAATTGTTTAGGGTCCTGGTAACAGTTGTACAACAGAGCTGCTTGAAAGAAACGGCCTCACTATTGTGGGAATAGGCTTTCATTTTCCAATTAAAAAATTTCCTGAAGAAACTCTGTTTAAAATAAAGAAACAAAGGATTGTCTTGATTAAACATTCCTGTTTAATTTATACACTTTGTTTCGTTGTATCATTTTAACATGCTTCACGTCTTTATCTGCTCTTTCATTTTGGATTTTATGTGTATTTCCTCATCATCCATTTAGAAAATTGGTGTCATCAACTCTTTATAGAAATATCCTATCAACTTGGAGAGGATTACTTGCAGTTTAACTTAAATATTTTTATTAATCTGGTTGCTAAAATGACTACAGATGTAGACTGGTTTATTTGTGGCTGTTTCTCACATTAAACCAAGTTGGCCCATTATACTGGGTTATAACTTCTGCAGTTGTGCTGACATGGGACTTATATTACTCTTCCCTCATGTTTTTGTTTGTTTCTTTTGGTGTTGGGTTTTTTTTTTTGAGCACATGGTTCACATTCTGATGTCTTCTCAATATTGAAGACCACAGCAAATCAGCATTTGTGTAAATACCTGTATGTTCTGCTAGTCAGGCCTAAATTTGTTACTTAACATGCTTTTATGCCTAATTCTTATAGTGACTTTTAATATGTTATTTAAACAAATTAAATGAATCATTACTAAAATTCAAGATCAAATCTTAATGCCCTGCTTTGAAAATGTCTGAGGCCAATCTGTGCCACATTTTTTAACACCTGTGCAAGCTTATACTGGTGCACAGTTGGAGGAAGCTGCTCTTAATGGGACTTGAACAGTGTGTTAAACCTCATGACAAATAGATTTATACTGATCTAATACCATTCAGCATGCTTTGTTGTCTACAAAAGAAAAACTGTTATTCCTTAAAATATACAATGGATACTTTTGTAATAATAGCATGCATTAATACTGAATAAGAATGTTCTTTCAAAATATTCCATTACTAATGTTTTAAATTGTGCACTTTTAGAGCTGGGATACCTGGGTTCTTGAAGATGTGACTAATTGCTTCTCTGTATATTAATACTGCCTGAAAATATTTTAATAGTCCTGAAGAAACTTAAATTGTAGATGTTGCACCTGAAAATGAAAAGGACTACCTTCATGTAAAAAAAATTTTGCATTTGTGTTTACTTAGGAATGGTAAGAAGTTCTGGAGAAACACTTGGTTTTCAAATGAGCTGATTTTTGCAACAATTTCTCTTTCAACTTATCTATATAAACAAAGCATGAAATGGCAACTCTTCACCAGCACTTTTCAGACAGGTAGAACTCAATAAACTCCTGTTCTCCCTAGATTTTGTAGAAGTGTTTTTTTTTTTTTTTTAATTTAATCACATAAGGATTATCAGTTGGGGGGGGAACCTTTGAAAGGGTTCAGGTATCAAAATCAGCATGTAAAATGTATGTAGGTAATGAGTCTAGTGTTAAACTATTTAATTAAACTGAACTATTTCCTCAGTTTTATTTCTATGTCTTAAGAATTTGAGTAAGTGAATGATATAGCAGTTATTTATAAACGGATGTATTAACTATTAGGACATGATAAAATTTCTTATTTTCTTCATGTGAAATTTGCAGTAAATGTTCCTTGGACTTAATTTTAAATTATGATTAAAGATTTAAATTTACTAACTTGTTACCTGAAACCTGTAATGTTTAACTTTTATACTCGCAAATACTTACTTGTCTTATTGGGTAACTTTTAGTGCCTTTCAGTCTGGAACAAGGACTTTTAAACACTGTGAAATTACCAGTTGTTGCAGGTGCTGTTCCAAACCACCGTGAAAACCTACTTATATCCAATTCACTTGAGGTACCTTCTTCGCTTTGCTGTGCCCCATTCCCACTCCCCCCACGAGCACATACTGCAGCGTTAAAGGGGAAGCTGAAGAGAAGACTGTTAAGAGGCAAAATTAGCTGAAGGTTTTATTTACAGTGATCATGCAGTAGATAAGATGATTCCTTGAGGACAAATGATGTTTAGCACTGAGCAGCAATTACTTCCTGCTGGAGATGATGCTGCTTTTAGGACACTAGTAATGAAAACAAAGACACCCTTTCCTTTAGTACTGAAATGTCCTCTCCAGTAGTTCCCAAGCAGCAGAGAGAAAAATTAAAAATATGGATGCAAATGTAGAGTAGAAGGAAGAGTTGTAGAGTAAAGGAGTTGTGAATCTATATAGAGACAAAGACAAGAGATGAGGGGGAGGGTGGTGGTGGTGTTTTTTTTAATCTCCTGCACCCTGCCTCTCTCTCAATAGGAGATTTGGAAAGGAAAAATACATTTCTCTTCACCAAGCCCTCCTGACTGATTTCCTACAATGTTTTAAATGCCATGTTCTCGGAAACCTGGCACTGAACCTCGATTTTTCCCATTTCAGGATTTTTTCTTCCTCTCTGTGAAGCTTATTCATCATAACTTTTGGATTATATGAGGCAAATAGAGCTTGAAACGGAACATGAATTTTTGTGTATTTAAACATTCAGAGAGTACACTTTTGTCTTCTTGCAAAATAAGATGGGTCTCCTGTGATGGCGAAAAATATCTTAATTGTATAATTTAAGGCTGAACTGAAAAATTAGATTTAGATCCTAAGAGTATGTGGATTTCTAAACCTCAGAATGCTTGAAGCTTCATTCTTAAGTTTATCTTTTTGCAATTATTCAGAGCTTTGTCTTCCCTGTTAGTGAAAAATGCATTCATGCTAAATCTGTCAAATTACTGAACCCTTGTAATGAATTTATGTTAATGTTTGTAGTCAATATACCTGAAAACTAGTGCTTTTTCTCTTATAGAAGAAATCATTCTGTTAATACCATCTACATGAAAAATCTTTAATTTAGATTTTTTTTTTGGCATTGTATTAATAGCATATTCAAGACATAAATTTGTTCAGAAACAACTGTTTGATTTTGCCCGTAGGTCAGATCTAGCTCTGTACCTGTTGAGAGCAGAAGAAACTTCACCTACAACAGGCAAGACTCTGGTCTCCCTTTGCTACAAGCTGTTGCAAACTGGGAAATGGTCTGAGGTGATGGTGCTTTCTACCCATGCTGTACGCTGGGGGAATATAATATTCAGCCCACCCTCTACATCAATACTGAGTTGTTTTTCTGGTTTAGTGTTTATTTTTTTCTTCTAGGTAAGAATAACATGGGTTTTCCTTCCAGTTCACTTTTGAAGAATATCCCTTCTGTATTGGGAGCTTCACTGGTGTTAGCTATGCTGGGGGGAAGAATAGTTGAACTAACTTTTAACCTCAGCTGTTTCACATCACGAAGTTTTGTCCTGATACTTGTTTGGTTACAGGTGTTGGGCTGCATCAAAAACATGACTCCTCTTTTACCTTCGAGAGTTACCTGACTGTGAAGTCAGTGTTGCTGTAGACAAAGATTCCATCATAGAGGCTAGATTTTACAGTAGTCTTAGTTGCCTTTCCGTTAAAATACATAGAGTCACTGTCATTGTCTTGTTAGAAGATGCATTTTATACAAAAGATCAGAGTGAGTTCCCTTATAGAATACTTTCCGTAGTTTTTCTTCCTGTCTAAATGGGAGGGAAGAAAATCAGAGAAAAGCTAAGCTGAAAATTCAGGTTATTGCATTTTGAAGTCTGTTATTCTGGCGACTGTGATTCTTAACGTAAAATCAGTGCAACATGAGGGTTATCAGAAGCTTGCATGTCACTGTGTAGTTTGTTTGAATCAAATAGCTCTAATAATTCATGACTAAAAGTAAGACTTTTTTTGTCTCTTTAAATCTCAGGCAAGCACCTAAAGAAGCCAATAAAGGAAATTTCAAAGTTATGTTCACTAGCATGTATTTAAGTCTTTTTATGTGATGCAACTTTGAACAGTGAGTATTGCATGTAGCTGTGGAAGCAGTGCCTCATTTTGATTTTGCATTAACTGAAGGGAATTGCTAAGAGTTTAATCTGGATTTGACAACAATTCCTTAAAAAGGCTGATAGGTTTCAATATATTTGAAACAAAAAATGCAGTCCAATATTTTATTTTAGTAAGTATACTTTGCTATGTATATTATGTGTTAGAGAGGATTATAATCTTTTGCATTTGCTTTACAGTTGTATGGAATAAAAATGTGCCCTTCTAGTACCCAAATATTCTGTGACTTGTGAGCATGTTAACGCTATTTCTGTTTTTCTGACACAAGAGAGCCCCTACAGTGATAACTCCTCCAGGGTTTATTGTCCCTAACAAGGTCTCTGTTAAACCCGCTGTGGCTGTAGATTCTAACTTCAGAAACTGCCACTTTGCTATTCATTACAAAGGAGACAGATGCACTTACTTAACCTTTTAAATATTTTAATGGCTATTACTTAGTACCAAGTTGTCTAAACACTTGAAGTGTTCTTGTGAATGAAATAAAGCATAATGCATCAGAGCTTGAGGGAGTTTTAGTGTAAGGAACGGTATTTGGTTAACTCCTGACTTTTTGCTCCTTTTGGCTATTAAAAGTTTAGGGAGAGGTTAGCATGGAATTAGCACAGTATCTGTAATTCTGAAAATTTTTCTCTAAATTTGTTTGGGTTTAGAAACTTAGACACTACTTACAAGTGGTAGTAAATTTCAGTCCAATTGGTTTAAATTTTAGTTTAAAACAAATCCGCAGATAAGGTATAACTGATTACAAATCTTAATCTATTCTTAAGAAAAGTTGCACAAGTGGCTCTGCCTTCTGTTGATCTGGCAGGTATAGTGGCAGCTCATTATTTTGTCCTACTAAATTCCTGCACAAACTGCTCAATAATTCATTGAGCTATTCACTTAAGGCCATCTATAGCCACAAGTGTAAAGTTAGGAGCTTCCAGAGACTTTTCCCCTGTTGCCTCACCCTCTGCATTTCAACTGACTAAAGCCCAGCATGGTGAGCCAATAAAGTACAGAGAAGATTAGCTGCTAAAAAAAAGTGAAATGGGATTTTTGACTTCGTAAGAAAACAATAGAAAATAAATCCACCTCTCAAAAATTAAAGCTGAATTCAGATCAATTTTTCCAGGTGGTCAGAAGTATCTTTCTTACTTCACTTGCTGTTT